AACAACGCTTAACCTGCCGTTTTGCTTTTCCACAGTTACCTATGGTCCAAAAATATTAAATAAAAGATTACTAAGTTTTGAATTGCACACTGTCCTGAATAGCGTGATGAGATTTTGAACTGCTCCACTTTGGACATGAATTGTTTTTCGTCTGGCATATCCACACTATATATACTAGGCACCCAATTATCAGAATGGCAGATCTGTCTCAATTATGAGATTGACAGACCACCAAGAAAGGTGAGTACAGTACAGTAAGATATTTTGAAAGAAACCACATTCACATAACTTTTATTACAGTATATTGTTATAATTGTCCCTATTTTATTATTAGTTATTTTTAATCTCTTACTATACCTAATTTATAAATTATCACATATATGTATGCATAAGAAAAAATGGTATTTATAGATTTGGTACTATCCATGTTTCCAGGCTTACTCTAGGGGGTCTTGGAATGTATCCCCTGCACATAAAGGGGAACTTTGAAAGAAAACTGAAGAAAATGAAAGAATAAAAACTGAAAAAAAGAAAGAAAACAAAAAAATAAAGGTACTTAGTGATATTAATGTTTAACACACATACATAAATGGATTGCTAAAGCAAAATAAATGGAAACAATCACAATATACACCAAACATGATTCCCAATAAGCAATTAAGTAGGTAAAAGAAAGGAGTGGGCCAGGTGCTCTGACGCACACCTGTAATCCCAACACTTTGGGAGGCTAAGGCAGCCACATTACTTAAGGTTAGAAGTTTAAGATCAGCCTGGCCAACATGGTGAAACCCCATATCTACTAAAAATACCAAAATTAGCTGGGAGTGGTGGCGCACCTGTAGGCCCAGCTACTTGGGAGGCTGAGGCAAGAATCACTTGAACCTGGGAGGTGGAGGTTGTGGTGAGCTGAGATTTGCCACTGCACTCCAGCCTGAGTGATGGAGTGAGCCCTCTTCTCAAAAAAATAAAATAAAATAAATAAAATAAAATAAAATAAAATAAAATAAAATAAAATAAAGGAGTGGATAGTCAGTGCTTGCTACTTGAAGAATTGATGCAAGACGCTTGTCTCTGTTTAGGGACTTAGAAAAATGTACTATATTGTCAGCACTCATGTTGCCTTAGCATAGAGCCTAAATACTTAAAAATTTTGCCCACTCAAGTCTTGTTATGACTTTTTTGTCTTTTCTTTTAATTTCTAAGCCAATCGATTTTCTGCCTTACTGGGACACCTGTTTTTCTCACGCCATAAAGAAAGTAGCAAACTACTAACATACAGAGCATGGATGAGTCTTAAAGTTTATTATACCCAGTTAAATAAATCAGAAAAATACTGTATAATTCTAGAACAGAAAAAATTTATAGTGGTAGAAACAAGATCTGGATCACATGGTTGCTTCTGGTGGAGAGGGAACCTGACTGTCCAGGGACACAGTGGAACTTTCTGGAGTGATAGAAATATCCCATCTTGGGGTGTGAGTTACGCAAATGTATGCACTTATCAAAACTGTTCTAACTGTACACTGAAGATCTGAATATTTTAATTATGTGTATGTAAATTATACACAAGTTAAAAAATTGAAACTATTACAGAATTTTCTCAGTACCATTGAGCAAGACTTCTAACTAGTTTAGAGGAAATTCAACAGCTTCTTTATTCTTCTATCTACCCATTTTTAGTGCAAACACAACCAAATAATTCAAGTGACTCACTTTAAGATCTGTAAGCCCCTTGAAATTGTCTCCCTGCTCCTAATACAACTCAGTAACTAATTTTTTTTGTCTATTTTATCTACAAACGAAAATCTTGTCTTTTGAGGTATTCTATAGAATGGAGAAGAGTTTCCATGCTACTGTACATATGGAAACTGAAACTTCAATCTCAAGCTTAAAGGTTAATCTCTAAGACTTTGCTATTACTTTCACTTCATGAGATAAGACTACTGATCCATATTAGTTAAAAAAATGTTAGAAGTCAACTTTAGTTGCAACTATCAAGTATGTGACTATCTACCTAGCTTTCACAAAATCTAGCCATTTATGTTTTGTAGCTGACTCGTGAGAGGTAAGTTTTCTCAGCAAATGCATTTCTCAACAAAAGGGGCTATGTCAACAGCTTGAAAGTAAATTCATCTAAAGATATGTTTTCCTCCTTGACATCTGATGAGTGGTTCCCAGATATATTGCTGGTAACTTCTGGCACTTTTTACAAGAATCTAAAGCTCCCAATCTTCTAATAGGTTTTGAGTGTTGTTACGGCTAATGAGTTAGCTATAAAATTCTCTCCAAATTTCATTGCACTTCCCTTGTGTCCTGATATGTTTTGTCTTTTACATTGATTGCATGCTATCCCTGTATGTCCACTAATGCTATCCTTCTTATAAAATTTTCAGCCTCAAAAGCACTGTTTGCCATAACTGATCTTCTTTTTGGCTCTATCAAGAAAACACAATTCAATTTTATTGCTTTATGCTTTGACCATTAAAAAAGAAGCAGTTGAATAGTTTTTCAGGTTATTTCTCATATCTTTAATTAAATGCAGATTGCTTTATTTTCTTTGACCATTCTATAAACTCTCTAATTATTTTTATTTATTTATTTATTTATTTTTTGAGACGGAGTTTCGCTCTTGTTACCCAGGCTGGAGTGCAATGGTGCGATCTCAGCTCACCGCAACCTCCGCCTCCTGGGTTCAGGCAATTCTCACCAGACTAAATCTTGTGCTCCTTCTAATTCATCTGCTTATCTAGGATTTTCAGTTTTGAAATTGCCTTATAGTGTAGTTGCCTTATAGTTTTTAGCATAAGATGCTAATCTTGTATCATGCTAACTCAAATGGAATCTGTTTCTCCCAATACATCTTAGGTACCTAATGGATATCTTTTAGTTCTTGAGGAGACAGAATAGTCTAGAACCTGTGACATTGGCTTGACTGACTTCTCCTTCAGTGTGTTTACAAGATTTTAAGTGATTAGGAGGGTAAAGACTTCACTACCTATAAAATCTCACAGAGGCAGTCAGAAAAAAAATGGTATCTAAGAGCACCAACCAAAAGTTTTATCTTATGCCATTTCTAAAGGTATATACCAAAATTACAACACTCATGAAAGTTTACTTCAGTGAGGAATCCTAAAGCACATGTCCTAATTCCAATGTATAACCAGATCTAAAAGTTACATTTTATTAAGGATTATACTACATATGACAGGATAAAAGTTTCTGTTAAAAGTTTGAGGCCGGGCAAGGTAGCTCACACCTGTAATCCCAGCACTTTGGGAGGCTGAAATGGGCGGATCACAAGGTCAGGATTCGAGACTGGCCTGACCAACAAGATGAAACCCTGTCTCTACTAAAAATACAAAAATTAGCTGAGTGTGGTGCCACGTGCCTGTAATCCCAGTTACTCAGGAGGCTAAGGCAGGAGAATCGCTTGAACCTGGGAGGCGAAGGTTGCAATGAGTTGAGATCACACCACCATACCCCAGCCTGGGAGACAGAGTGAGACTTCATCTCAAAAAAAAGAGTTCACAGGTAGGCCAGTCATGGTGGCTAACCCTTCTAATCCCAGCACTTTGGAAGGCCAAGGCAGGCAGATTGCTTGAGCCCAAGAGTTCAAGACCAGCCTGGGCAACATGGCGAAACCCCATCTCTACAAAAAATATAAAACTTAGCCATGTGTGGTAGTGTGTGCCTGTAGTCCCAGCTACTTTGGAGGCTGAGGAGGAAGTATCATCTATGAGGCAGAGGTTACAGTGAGCCACGATAGTGCCACGTGCCAGCCTGGGTAACTGGTGAGGCCCTGTCTTAAAAAAAAAAAAAAAAAAAAAATTAAAGGTTTATAGGTAGTTTTTTCTGCCAGTTCTTTTTTATCGTTGTTTAAACATGAATTATCCACTCAATAAATCTTGGCCCTTCTCACACTAGATCAAGGATTCTCAACCATGGCACTACTGGCATTTTGGGATTTGTAATTCTTTGTTTTAAGGGGTTGTCCTATACATTTTGGGATGTTCAGCAGCATCTCTGGCTTCTATCCACTAGGGACCAGTAGTATCTGTCAGGTGTAACAATCAAAAATGTCTCTAGACATTACCAAATGTCCCCTGAAAGGCCAAATAGACCTTGCTTGAGAACCACTATAACTAGATCAAAATATTTTTTTAATTTCAACAAAATTTAGGAATTATCTAAAGCTGTAAAATGCCTTCCAAGACTGCTGTCCAGGTATCATAGAAACTAAACTAATTTAGAAAAAAACTTCTCGAGTCAAACATAATTATATCTATATATCAGGTACTAGATCATTATTATCTGAGCTAATGAATTATGAATAATAATTCTACTTGTGCTAGACATTTTTCTTAGATGAGCTACTTCCTACTCCATTATAAAGATTTAGTGAAACACAAAGAGAGATTTAATAGGAAGATGAAACAGAAGATAGAGTCAGAAAGGAAGCCAGTGTGATAGAAATTTTAAGCAATCTAATTTTTATTATTACTGACATTTCAAAATATGCAAGATACCTTTACTGCTTGTCTTCTATGTATCTAGGCACTATTATATACATGTTATTACCTAGTTAATTGGTGAACTTTTAAGAAAATGGAAACAATTAGGAAAACAGAAAATCAATATATTTTCTTAGTATTTTTATAAAATTATTTAGTTGTTAAATGTTATACAAAGAGAACATTAAGAGGCTTAACTCTTATAGGTCAATTGTATTCTTTTGAGTACAATGATACTATAGTTTATTGTTCTTCTTTCTTCTCATTCTAAATTCTTATGGTATTCTCCTCAAAATGTCAAGTTGAAAGACTACCTTCATGATATCCCCTTCCTTTGATAATCTCACAGAATCGGAACCATGAACTTATGAACTATTTTCATTCATCAACTAGCTGACCAAGTAAACATTGTTTATGTTTTTTAACAGGCTGATACCAAAGAAAAATTCTTATTCAACTTGAATTTTGAACAGATATAAAGGCTCTTACCTACAAGCAACATTTGGATCAGCATTTCTTGAAAGTAGTAGCTCTACACATTTCAAGATCTGTTCCTCTGAGCCATGAGCAGAACATGCAGTTATCAAAATAGTTTGCTTATCTATAGTGAATAGAAAAGGGAAGAAAAACCCCCATACATCAAGAAGTGCATCTATTTGATGTCTTTAGCACTCAAAACAATCTATTATTGCACTCTAAAACTCTATAACCTCTTCCCAAATCTCTCACTCTTAGCAGATAACTTTGTCTTCCTTCATCAAAAGATGAGATTAGACATGAATCCCTTTCGTCTCCAAAGTTTATCTATAATTCACTGAATTTCCTTATTTCCATTTCTTATTCCCATATCTTCAAGAGAACAGAAAGTAGTTAAGCACATGGACATAGCCACATTGTCGGGATTTGAAGAGTGTTTGATTAAAATTTGCCTTGCTAAATTCATGTCTGGGAAACAATGATCCATTTTCTCTGATTTCACTTCTTACCCATTTGAAAACTCTTGCAATCTGGCTTGTAAACTACGCTATTGAAATTGCTGTAACTGCCACATACATTGGTTTGGTTTCTTTTCAGTCCTTTTGTACTGGATCTTTCTTAACCCACTCTTTACTAAAACTCTTCTTGCCTTGGCTCTTATGGTGTCAGAAAAGATCAGAGTAAATTAAAAACAAAAAACACCTATTTTGAATTAAGACTTCAAAAGTACTAGTGCTAGGATTATAAGCATGAGCCACCAAACCTGGCCAAGTGATATTTTTAAATGATATAATAAAAATAAAAACTTAACAGAGAAGGTTAAACATAAAACTGTGGCTAAGACAGAAATTGATGTAAAATAAATAAATGACAAAAAAGAATAAATTGTAGGTATAAAATTAAAAATTAATTATAAAATGAAATCTATACCTGAAATTATGAAGCAAATTTAATTGTATATTGAAAGTATGTTAAAAATAAGTAATTGAGAATTCAATGTAATAATTAAACTGGATTTGCTCATATATTCTTGTTCTTCTTACACTCAAAGCACTACTTAATGGAAATTGTTTAGTAACAAGGACAAAGATGGATTTCATTAAGCATCTCTGAAACAACTTTAAGCAATATTAATTCATAGTTTAAAATTGCACAGACTGATTTCCAAGTAATTTGCCACTAAATTACAAGCTTTTTAATGTTTATTTCAAGGATTTTTTCCTTTAAAAACAACCAGAACCTTAAAGTTAAAGGTATATAATAACAACCAGTTATAAAGATACTATAACTGGAATTTATTTTTTGGAAAGAGAGTTTTTCAGAATATGTATGGTTTCTAATTTGATTTTGTGTATTATTTACATAATATAATGAATAGAAAGGTTACTTCAAACTGCTTTTTTTTCCACTTTATATAATAGCTAGTTGGAAATCAAAAGAATCACAGTATAATCATTTAAGTTACCTCAAACATCTTACCCTTCTCAAAGCTTGCATTAGCACCTCTGTCCAAAAGGACCCGAACCAGCTCTGCATTGGCAACGCTAGCAGCATACATAAGGGGAGTCCATCCATATCGAAAGGTAGCGTCTACACTAATAATGCCTGTCAATATAAAAACAAGCTTTTAAAAGCCCATTACCACCAAAGAAAAAAATCAATCACCTTATATGCTTAAAGTACCATATAAAGTGATATATACATCATGTACTTTATTCTACAATGGGAATTTTTTGGTAAAAATGGCTTCCAAAAAATAGAAAATAGTTATGTCAGGACCTTAATACAATTTGCTAACTTCAGTTTCACTAAAGGCACTATATTTCCAGAGATGGATTTGACTGATGTTTTATTATATAATATGTAATTGAGTATGTATATTATAACACGTTTTTCCATGCTACCTTTTTTTTCTCTAGGGGAGCTAAAAAAGGTTTCACAGAGGTAAAATGCCTTTTAAATTAGAACATTATCCCTAGGCAATATCAATTATCTCTATGGTTGAAAATACCACATATATCCCTCAAATACCTTTAACTTTATCCCTAACACTGAACCTACCCATGAGTGACTGACCAAACGTGAAGCTAAAAAGATAGGTTAGGGTTAGATTATGAAAGCTCTGTTAAGAAATGCAGACTCTATTTTGTGATCCAGAAATTGATATCATTACATATGTATCATAAATGCAACATAGATACCACTATTGAGAATGGGACAGGAGGCAATAAAAAAACTAGTTTTAAGGCAGGGAGTTTATATAAAAATCAGAGCAAGGGTAGTGGAGAGAGAAAGGATAGAAAACAAAAGTACATTTCAAAGGCAAGGTCAGAATTTAAAATTACTTTGAGGAGGAGGCGTGATGGAAAAGAAAAATTTAAAATGATCATCAAGTTCTATCTTGGACACACAAATGACAAGCAGTGAGCTGAAATAAAGGGAGATATCAGATAATGAAAATAAGTTTTTTGCTTTTTGTTTTTTTAGAGATGGGATCTCACCCTCTGTCACCCAGGCTGGAGCACAGCTGTGATTATGGCTTACAGAATACTCAACCTCCCAACTAGCTCCAACTATAGGCATGTGCCACTGTGCTGGGCTAATTTTTTTTTTTTAGTTGCGGAGTCTTACTATGTTGCCAAAACTGGTCTCAAACCCTTAGCGTCAAGCAATCCTCCCACCTTAGCCTCCCAAAATGCTAGGATTACAGGTGTGAGCCACTGCTCCTGGCCAAGAGATCTAGACTTAAATAGCAATCTTTTTCTTAAATCTAAGAAATGTTTGGTAATGCCAAGAAAGGAAACAAAATTTTTATGTTTCAAACAAGGAAAACTTGTGTGTGAAACACCACTGAACACGGGCCTGCCTTTAATATCTTATAATTTATAAGTTCTATAGTCTCTGGCTATAAAATGTCCCACTTGTACAGCTTAAGGTCACATCACAAAAGAAACGCAAACTTGGTGGTGGGGATGTGTGTGTCACTTTTTTGGCTGTATAAATACTGGGTCACTAAAAGACTACATATGTCTAATTGCTAATTGTCTAACTGATATAATGTACATAATAATCACTGGGAGAAAGCACTAAGCCATCTTAGTACATACATATACTGCTAACCCAACTTGTCTTCTCTCACAAATTTTCCTCTTTAAACTGCTTCCATTGAAAGCATATCAATGAGATCAGAGAAAAAAATCATTCTTTTCTCATTTAATTGAGAGTACTGCTCATACTGTGATAGCAAAGATAGAAAGGAAAAGGTGTGAAGAAAAAGAGAAGGAAATGTGGCATTTTAGCATAAAAATTCTTACTAAAATTCTAACTTAATATTTAATCTCTAATATTTAACATAAATTACTAAACACATATTATGTTCCAGGCTTAGTGCAAAAAAAAAAGGTTAAATTTAAAAGGATGGACACAGTATATTTATAGAGCTCAAAAACATTCAAAATAATACTATATTGTTTAGGGATAGAGACATACACAGTAAAAGTAAAAAGATACTCAGTGATAAATATCAGCTATAGAAAAGTGGCAGTCTCCAGAGGGGATACCTTACCTTTCTGAATGTCTAAAATATGTCATACTTTAAAGAAAACTTAAAATGATAGTACACAGAATAATAAAAACTGGAGACATCTTCAAAAGGTTAAAAGTGGCTGACTCAAAATGTGCTTTTATTTTTAGTTTTCAATTGGTGCAGAAACATGTTTCAAGAACAACAATGACTTTGAAAGGCAAAAAATTAAAAATATTTTTAAAAAGAGTTATGTAATGACATCTGGAAGGAAATACCCTAAAACAGGAGTTAACCTGTGAAAGTGAGGCATCAGCAGTAAGGGGAATGAGAGTGGGGACAACGGTAAGTAAGTCTTTCTACTTCTACCTATATCTTTATTACTGGCTACTTTAAAAATTTTTGTAATCAGAAACAAATTTCAAACCGTTGACTAAATACCTATTTAGCAGCAGGCTATGATCAAGAGACTGAAAAACTCACACTTGCCCATCAATCATATCAAGTCTTAATCCTTCACAAGCCTCTGTCGCCTTCACTGTACCTAGTCCCACTACTCCAAGGCAAATTTTCTTTTCTAAAACAAATCTCTGTCTATTCCACCCCATGCTATGTACACTATACATATATTAGTATTAGGTATTCAGGCCTCTTTCCACTTACTCAGTTTATTCAATTTCATTCTTTAATTACAAACTCAAGTTCCATTGTCCAAAAAGTCATACGGATCCTTCTCATTTCTTACAAGAATAACAGCTAATGTTTACATAATTCCTATGCGCTTGAAGTCCTTTAAAAGCGTATTTTAATTCTCCCCCTTGCCAACAACCTTTTGATACATAATCCTCACTTTAAAATGGGTAGAAAATTAAGCTTAGAAAGATTTGGTAACTTAGTGAAGGTTACAAAGCCATCAAGTGGCATGGTTAGCAGTGAAACCCAGATCTGTCTTGTTTCCAAAATTATTTACTTTTCACTAAACTATGCATTGATTATAGCATAGAAGAAAAACATTATGCTATATATAATCGCTTCTAACTACACTGTGTGTCAATGTTTTGTATCTACAACGGCAATAACCACAATTACTTTTGCATCAATCTAAAGTAAACGCCTGTTACTTCTTTGAGTAATTTCGATTATTATAATCAATAATTTACATTTCTATGTGAAGCTAATTTAATTTTTTTTCATTTAATGCATTAAAAAAATCATGAGGCTCAGGGCAGAATTATGATGCTTTACATAAAGAAACTGATGCTCTCTTTCTGGGCATGGTGGCTCATGCCTGTAACCTCAGCACTTTGGGAGAAAAACGTGGGTGATCACTTGAGGTCAGTAGTTTGAGACCAGCCTGGCCAACATGGTGAAACCCCTGTCTCTACTAAAACTACCAACATTAGCTGGGCTTGGTGATATGTGCCTTTAGCCCCAGCTACTTGGGAGGCTGGGGCGGGAGAATTGCTTGAATCCTTGCCCCCAAGTGGAGGCTGCAGTAAGCCAAGATGGCGCCATTGCACTCCAATAGGACGATAAAGTGATATTCCATTCCATGCCCACCCCCCCAAAAGGAAATTGATGCTCTGAAAGTTTAAATGACTCTTCCAAGAAACCAGAGTAGGCAATAAGATGAAAGAAATTATCCACATATTTATTCAGATTTTTAGCTCAAGCCTCATTCTACCAGTACAGAACAAAAAACTGTGGTGAGAAAGAACTAAAATGTACATGACTAGAAACAATTCTTAAGAAACATACAGCATTATAGTGGAGTAAATGAAGAGAAAAGAATGATCATAGTGGGGCAGGATTAGAATAGGCCTCTTGAAGGAGATGGAAGAAATGATGGAAGATAATCAGGGTGGCATTCCAAATGTAAGGACAAAGGAAGAAAATAAGGCAGAGAGAACTCATAGTCAACAAAGATTATGTAGGATAACTGATATATTAATATTTGTTGTGTTTCCATTAGAAAAGTGACATAAACCTTTTAAAAATAAGGAAACCTTGTGAACTTAAGACAGTTGTGTTCAGGTGAAACTATCCCTTATCTCTTACCAGAATCTAGGAGCTCCAGGACCAATGAAACATCTCCGGTGGTCAATGCTTTCTTAAATTTTTCTTTCTTTTCTTCAATGGGTAACATTTGCCCTTTCAATTTCTAGAAAAGTAAACAGTTAAAAAAATTCTTATATATATATTTTTGTTTCCACCACATTAGGGAACAATGTTTGGTTAAATATATAAGTTTTTTCTTGGTTTTATTTTGATGGAGATACAAAGTTTAAAAATAATTCGTGTTGAAAATTATCTTTCAAGGGAATAGGTAATGATGGATCCAAACCCAAGTGAAGAGCTACTATGACCTTAGGAAGCGTATTTGGTGGAAACCACAGCTGGGGAACAAGAGGAAATTTGTGCGCGTTTGCTTAAGTCCAAACACCCATCTTTCCAATGAGAAAAACGGGAAATAGATGCGAGCAAGTTAGAGGTTTCACCAGGCAGGACCTCGCCTTCGAGGGCCAGGGAGGCCGAAATCAGGTGTGGTCAAGACAAGTTCTCCTCCGCTACCTGAGACGTCCGGTCGAGATACCCAATCTCCCAGCCGTCATCCTCACTCTCGCTACTCTCGCCTCCACCGGCTACTGCCAGGCCCCGTAGGGCGCTCGCCGCCATGCTTGCCCAGGTAGCTCTCTATGGGAAAAGCTCACTCTCTGCCTCTCCCGGCGCCTGCGCACAGGGGAAGTGCGTAGGGATGAGCGGGAAGGAGCTATGCGCAAGCGCTCTGGTCTGAGACCTCCAGCGCAGGCGCGTAGTTGCACGCTGCTGCTCATCTCCCTGTTTCCTCCCCAACCTTGAGGCTTCTCGAGGTGAAAACCTGGTGAGTCTAACACTGCTGACGAAATTCCTGTGCCAGGCTTCTGGCTGGTAGTTCCAATTCTTCTCAGGGATTTACCTCTCAACCTCTTTAAAGTATTTGCTTGATGAAAGTCTTGCTCTGCAAGGAATGCCTTACTTGTGACAGGAGCACACTGGGATTTAATGGCAAGTAAGACTAGACTTTCCCCGCCATTCTTTTCGTCTGCCCCAAGCCAAGCCTCTGTTAAATCTGTATCCCCTGGGAGACAGACTCTTCGTCGGAGCACCTCTCTCAGGAGCACCACTCAGACATTCAAGGAGCCCCACACACAAATAGGAGCCGACAGAGGAGCCAGGAGAAATTGCCCCAAAGAATTCTTCCTTTACATTTCATGGGATCCCAGATCCCACCTTAGATTTAGAAGCTTCAGACCATCAAAACACTTGCCCTCTATGAAGTGTAGATGCCCTAGAGGAAAATATGAAAGCAGGAAGTTTCTAGGTATAGTGGATCCAAAGAGCCAGAAAGAAAGAAATGATTTATACGTCCAGAGAGCAAATAATACAAACAACTCCAGATGGAAGTGGTCCAAGCTCAAACTCACCTTTCTGCATGGTAGAAAGGTTCTAGATGGTAGAACTTCTAGATATTGGTAACACTGATTTTCTTTGCTACCACAGAAAAGTAGATCCACCAAGAAACAGGGCACGTTATATGTATCTCAAGATAATAGCTATGCACCATTATTTGAAAACTTTTGTGATAAGGTTTTTTTCTTGCAGATTCTTTGATAAAAGATTTTGAAATTATTTACTTCTGAAGCTCAGTGATAAGTATTTTTAAGTAGTTTAGCTATTTGGGGGCCACACCTGTCTTTCTAAATGGATTCATTCAATAAATGTTAGGGGTTATTTATTACAGCCAAGTGCAATTGGGTCTGGGGAAACAACGTCAAACCATGGAGCCTCATGCACTCATACTTTAATAAGGAGAGCTAGATAATATGCATGGAAAAAATAAACAATACTATTGCAGATTTTAAGTGCCTTAAAAGAAACAAGTGTGCTCAGTTTCTGGAATCAAACCACTTTGGTGTTTCCTGGGAGAATCACTTACAAGAAGTAGCTGTGTGCCCTTAGGCAATTTATTTAGCATCCATCTGGGTACCAGCTAACTTGTCTGTAGAATGGAGGTGATGATATTACCAACCAAATGTAATTGTTATGGGGACTAAACGAAGTATTAGGCTTGGAGTAAGGTCTGTCTCAATGTAAGAGGTAGATTTTAGATAGGGTAGTCAGACCTGCATAGAGTCCTAAATGACAAGCCATAAAGAATGAGAGAATAGAGCTTGGCAGTGGAGATGAGTAGTACCAGGGGGCTAAGGCAAGAAAAAAACTAGGACTCAGGACCAGGATGGGCAAGTGAGGCCCCTAAGGAGCAAAGTTTAAGGAGGTCCTCTCAGGGTCCTGCACATTCAGTGAGTGGCTCAAACTTTGCTCCTAGGTAACCTCACTTAACTTACCTTAGTTCTTGTCCTGCTTGGACCAGAAAGAAGGCCTGAGGCTAGAGCTTCGTAAGGGTAGGCATGTGTGATAAGAGGTCCTTGTGGGCCTTAAGTGGGAATCTGGATTTTACTCAAAGCAATTGAACAGTGAAATGTTTTAAGCTAATGAAAGACATGTTCTGATGTGTGTGTGTGTGTGTATTGTAAAGAAGGTTTTTGGTTTGAGCAGCTGGCTAAGGAGTCGCTCCATTTACTGAGATGGGGAAAGACCAGTGGATAAAGGAGAAGATTTAATAAACATCCCCAAATTAACATATTCAAAAACCAAACAACCAAGTGTAGCTGTTAAGTGGTTAATTGGATATTCATGTGTGGACCCTGAGGGAGCCTGGTCTTGGAGATATAAATGTGGGAGTTATCCAAGTACAATTGGTTTTTAAAAACCTTAGGATTTACCAAGCAAATTGTTTTGTAAATATAGATAAGATTATGCCAAGTTGTATGTGGAAGGGCAAAGGAAGTAGAATAGTTCAAACAATTCTGAAAAAGAAGAATAAATAATGAAGAATTGCTCTCCTTGATTTCAAGACTTCTGTGTAGACTTTATTTCTGGATTTTGTGGTATAGACTAATAGAACAGAAGAGAAAACCTAGACATAACACCATACAAGTACATATAGTATGACAAACTAATTTTTGATAAAGGTGCAACATCAATTCAGTGGAGGAAGCAAAGTCTTTTTAACAGTTAGTTGTGAAGCAGATGAATATCTTTAGGTAGAAAATGAACTTCAGCCTAAGCCTCATGCCTTTTACAAAATTGATTCCAAATACATAATTAATGTACATGAATTAGTTGTACGTGAATGTCCATAGTAGCATTATTCATATTAGTTAAAAGTAGAAACAACCCAAATGTTCATCAACTGATGAATGGATAAACAAAATTGGTACATCTATACCATCTGAATTAGTTTCCTAGGACTACCAAAACAAATTACTACAAATTGGGAGGCTTATAACAACAAATTTATTCTCTCACATTTCTGGAGGCTAGAAATCTAACATCAGGTTGTCAGCAGGTCCATGCTTCCTCTGAAAGTTGTAGGGGAAGATCTTTCCTTGCCTCTTCCCAGCTTCTGGCAGTTGCTGGTAGTCTTTGGTTTATAGATGCATCACCTTAATCTCTGCCTCTGTTTTTACATGGCAGTCTCTCCTGTGTGTCTGTGTGTCTGATTCTCTGTGTGTCCATATTTCTCTCTTTTTATAAGGAAACCACTCATATTGGATTTAGAGTCCACGGTAATCAGTATGATCTCTTCTTTATGTGATTATATATGATGCCATGACCTTATTTTTAAATAAGGTCACATTTACAGGTTCAGGTGGACACAAAATTTTGGGGGACTCCATTCAACTCAGTATACTTTATATATCAGTTAGCATGAAGTTTTCAACACCCAATTGTAGCATGTGTTTGTAATTCATTCCTTTTTGTGCTAAGTAATATGTGATACTGATTTCAGAGGGTGATTTCAGCAGGTAGCATTGACCATTAGGAGGTGCCTATAATTATGAACTAGAGAAGTGGCGGGGAAAATGGAGAGGAGGAGGCGTTTTCAAAATTTATTGTGAATTATAATAAATTTCCCTCTTAACACTGCTTTAGTTGCATCCCACAGATTCTGGTACATTGTCTCTTTGTTCTCATTAGTTTCAAAGATCTTCTTGATTTCTGCCTTAATTTCATTATTTATTCAAAGTCACTCAGGAGCAGGTTGTTCAGTTTGTATGTAGTTGTGTGGTTTTGAGTGAATTTCTTAATCTTGAGTTCTAATTTGATTGTGCTGTGGTCTGAGAGACTTATGATTTCAGTTCTTTCACATTTTCTGAGGAGCCTTTTACTTCTGATTATGTGATCAATTTTAGAGTAAGTGCCATGTGATGATGAGAAGAATGTATCTTCTGTTGTATTTGGGTGAAGAGTTCTGTAGATATTTATCAGGTCCACTTGATCCAGAGCCAATTTCATATCCCGAATATCTTAATTTTCTGTCTTGATGATCTAATATTGTCAGTTGGGTGTTAAAATCTCTGACTATTATTGTGTGTGAGTTTAAGTCTTTTTGAAGGTCTCTAAGAATTTACTTCATGAATTTGGTTGTTCTTGTACTGGGTATATATATATTTAAGGATAGTTAGCTCTTCTTGTTGAATTGAATACTTTAAGATTATGTGATACCCTTCTTTGTCTTTTTTATCTTTTTTGGTTTAAAGTCTGTTTTGTCAGAAACTAAGATTGCAACCCCTGCTTTTTTCTGTTTTCCATTTGCTTGGTTAAATTTTCCTTCATTGCTTTATATTGAACCTGTGTATGTCTTTGCATATGAGCTAGTTCTCTTGAAGACAACATACTGATGGGTCATGATTCTTTATCCAGTTGGTCATTCTGTGTCTTTAATTGGGGCATTTAGCCCATTTACATTTAAGGTTAGTATTGTTATATGTAGACTTGATCCTGTCATCATAATGCCAGGTGGTTATTTTGCAGACTCATTTTTGTGGTCGCTTCATACTGTCACTGGTCTATGTTCTTCAGTGTGATTTTGCAATGGCTGGTAATGGTTTTGCCTTTCCTTATTTAGTGCTTCCTTCAGGAGCTCTTGCAAGGCAAGGTGGTGGTAACAAATACCCTCAGTATGTGCTTGTCTGAAAAGGACCTTATTTCATCTTCACTTATGAAGATTGGTTTGGCCAGTTATGAAATTATGGCTTGGAAATTCTTTTCTTTAAGAATGTTGAATATTGGTGCCTGATGTCTTCTGGCTTGTAGGGGTTTCATTGAGAGGTCTGCTAATAGTGTGATGGGCTTCCCTTTGTAGATGATCTGGCCTTTCACTTTGACTATCCTTAACATTTTTTTCTTTTATTTTGACCTTGGAGAATCTGGTAATTATGTGTCTTGGGGATGATCTTCTCATGGAGTATCTTATTGGGGTTCTCTGCATTTATTGAATTTGGATGTGGGCCTGTCTTGCTAGGTTGGGGAGGTTCTGCTGCATGATATACTGAAGTATGATTTCCAACTTGGTTCCATTCTCACAATCTCTTTCAGGCACCCCAGTCAGTCACAGAGTCTGTGTCTTTATATAATTCCATATTTCTCAGAGGTTTTATTCATTCCTTTTCATTCTTCTTCTTTTTTTAAAAATTCTATTCTTGTCGACCTGTCTTATTTCAGAATGATAGTCTCCAGGCTCTGAGATTCCTTTCTCCACTTGGTTTGGTCTGCTGTTAATACTTATGATTGCATTGTAAAGTTCTTGTAGTATGTTTTTCAGTACTAAGAAATTAGTTATGTTTCTCTCTAAACTGGCTG